CCCCAAAACCCCAAAACCCCAAAACCCCTTTTTTGATAATAATTTTACCTAAAAAATGGAAGACAGCACGAAGCCAGAGAGGATGACTCTGGCTAGCCAGCCAGAGATCCTCCGGTCGACTCAAAGAGACCTTAACTTCAAAGCGTTGCTTAACTTCAAGTTCATTGAAGCTCTAGAGCAACTTGTGAAGTATAATGTCATCACTAAATACGAATAAGGAAATTACTCTGGTGACAGATAGCTTGTACTTCTACCTTACTACTGGATCAGGAATCATGACGCTTGGAGAGGAGTACTGCCAGATAGTCCCAAAGCAAAGCGAGAGGTATTACAATCCCAGTTTTAGTAAGAGAGTCCAGATTAGAAAAAGAGTCAAAGCTTTGTTTTATGTAACTTCAGTGTTTGTACCATATCTCTCAAGGAAGATCTTTGAACCTTTGTACAGAAGGTGGCTTCAGAAGTGGCTGAATGGTAAGCTTGTTGTTAAAGGGAGGAAATTTAGTATCTCCAGTACTTTTTGTTAAATTTTTGTGTTAAAGCAATGTTGGTCTAGCAATGCTGGTCTAGCAATGCTGGTCTAGCAATGCTGGTCTTGCAAATCTCTCAGTGATCGAAGATATTCATAGTTAATTTTAGAGTCAGTTTCCACAACAAGTTCGTCCAGTTCTGAGAGCACTGGAGATTTGAAGAAATGAAAGAATATTCAAGATTTAGAGAACTTTCGCCCAGGATTTTGGAAGATTTTAGGTAATCTATTGAAAAATGAGTTATAGTGAGAGTATTACTAAGAAATTTACACGCTGGAGGTAATTTCGATATTTTTCAAGAGGTTTTAATATTAAACACATAAAGAATTCCCATTTAATTTTTGTACCAGAAAGTCTGAGTTGAATCACAGATTGGGTTCAGGTAAATTCACTAGCTCAATTCTAGCATGCACATCTGGCTATATTCTTTATTTTTGGACATTACAATGAAATTGGGAGGAGATTCAGCAGGTTGAAATACTTCTATGCACCCAATAAAAAGTAATTTTGAGCTGATTTTTAGGAACTTCCAAACAAGAGTTCAATACTCTTTGATAGGCCGGATAATAATGATCCAGATCTGCTTTGATATAATGTACGTCACTTTTAACCAAGGTTAGGGTCTTTCTGTACAACATGGCTGTACAAGCTTACAAGGCATACAAAACATATCAGAATGAACTCAGTGCTTATAAGGCTCAAAAGCAGATCTTGCTTCACAAACAATGTATAAGTTTGTCTGTCTAACAACATAGACGAGTCTGAAAGTGAAGAAAGCGAAGAAACTGAAGAAGATGATGACGTCAATGACGAAAACCAATGCTCTCTCTGATTTGGCCAGTGCGTTAGCCCTAGCATCACTCAGTGAGGACATCTGTTCTGCTGGGATTGTGTCATGAGATCTCTAAAGATCCGCGAAGAGTGACCAACCTGAAGAAAAGAATGCCCTCCTCAGAAGGTGCTGATGCTACAAAATTTGTAGGGAAGTTCAACTCAGAAGCAAAATTTGGGGTTTTGGGGTTTTGGGGTTTTGGGGTTTTGGGG